TATATATATATATATATATATATATAATATATGTATGTATGTATGTTTGTGTGTGTGTGTGTGTTTACAGCTACTGTATGTTATGCCATAGTGTTTTAGATTTGTATCTATAAAAAAGATTAAAATCTGTGTGTGCATGTGTCTTATTTCTCATTTTGCTTTGTGCACAGGTGGGGAGAGGACAGAGACTACAATGGGACACCAAGGAAATATTGGGTATTATTTCTTTTCTTTTTTTTTATTACACAAAGCCTATTCCAAGGGCTTATTATCATTCTCATAATAAAAGAATGCCGCATTGATATTTTTCATTGTCACTGCACCACTGTTTTCCAATGGGAAGAAATTAAAACCTTATTTTCTAAAGACATTTTTACATTTCCATGTTGAGCTATTCGTGAAGATGCTGAGTGATGTATTTTATCCTCAGATCGCTGCCAACTCCTGGGGAAAGAACTGGGGGGAGGATGGCTACTTCCGTATCGCTCGAGGAGACAATGAGTGCGAAATTGAAACATTTGTGATCAGCGCGTGGGGCAGAATCACCATGGAAGACATGCGCAATCATCACCACCATCATCGCCGCAGGCACATTTAAAAGACTTCATTGCTGCTGATCCCTGCTTTTTTTGCTCCACAGTGGAGAACATTATCATGTTCCTTCACCAACAAGCTGAAACCGTATAATAGGGGATCTATAAAAACACCAAGGAAATCCTTTTTCAGCAGAGCAAACTTCTGAATGTTTCTCTCTAGCTCAAGGTTGATGGCACCAAAAAAACAAACAAAAAGAAATAATTAGAAGCTTATCCGCTTTGCCTTGCACACCTTGAGTAACTTCTGCTCCAAAGATCACACATCCAGAATCCTAATGGCTTCTGACGGACCAAGCTCATATCAGAGGTGATGATGGATGAAGAAATTCACTCTACTACCTTCATATTTTAGGCTCTGATGGCTCTAAATCTATAATCCAGATAAAATGGACACTAAGAGCGGGACTGGAGTAAATGGAAACTTAAGAGTCAGATTACCAGACGTGAGTCCCTGTAAGTAGAACATGCCCTGCTTAACGATGCAACCTGATAGTACACAATACAATAGAAGACCCAATGACTTAGGCTGTCAGCTTATGTAACGAAAGCATTTGAACCCTTCTATGGCTGTGACACATATAGCAGGCTTCCCACAGAGATTTTGAATGATCGAGACAACAGGACATTTAATATATCAGATGTTTTAAAATAGTTGTCCCTTTTCAAAATTTCTATGAAAAAAAGAAATGCAGCTAAGAGTTGTTACTCTATACACCTACCATATTTTCACGACCATAAGGCGCACCGTACTAAAAGGCGCAGTCTCAGTTATGTGTGCCATTACTGTATTTAACACACACATAAGGCGCACCGGATTATAGGGAGCAGGTTTTATATACCGGTACATATACTCTATTACGTTTAAAGACCTCTACTGCGTATTTAAAAATAGAGCGGGAGCAAAACTGAGTATGTTTGTGCTTTATTCATGTATTTATTACAAAGTATTAATCAAACCTGGGAGCTGGCCGTGAGACAGACACATCGCTGATGACACAGAGCGCTGTGATCACTCCTCTGAAACAGTTTATTGACACATAAATTAACTTAAAATGCAGAAATCTGCCGGCAGAATATGTTCGCTTTTATTATCCTGGTGCCTGCAGTTTAGATTATTTAGATGAAAAACACCTACCAGCTGCCGCAGTAAACCGCGAGGAGGCGACCCGGCCAGAGGCTGCTGATGAATGGGATTCCTATTGACAGCGCACCGCTGTATGTAGGGGTCTGAGTGGCTCCAACAGAAAAAATATTGGAAGGCAGGATAGTAATCTGGATGAACTGACTGCAGTGATTAGGTTTTCAGGTGGACTTTCTCACTTAAAAACATATTAAAACTACTTTATTCCCACTGATCACAGCAAATATAGCTGCAAGGCAAAGAAAGGATAGAGTAGCTCCGCCCAACTCGCATCAGACACACTTTTGCACCTCGCAGCCAGAGCAGCACAGCTGCTTCAGCCGCGCGTCAGAACTAACTGGTACAAGCAGCAAAAATAAAGCAGCAGACGCAGTTTTGCTGCTCTTGCTGCGTCCGGTGTGAAAGCAGCATTACTTTGAATGGCCGGTTCACACCGATGTCGACCGGTTGAAGTTCCTTTGTCAGACCTCCCGGAATAACAGCAAGCACAGCGTTAATTTTTTTCAACATGTTTTTCACATCGCCTGTGAGATGGGCACGCATGGAGTCACAGATTAACAGCAATGGTGATGAGTGGAAAAAGTTACCTGGTCTCCTTACATACACCTCCCTCAGCCACTCTTTCATCATCTCCTCAATGAGGAGATGAGGAGTTCTGCATAAAGCACATACCTGTTCTTTTATACACAATCCACGCCCACACTTCCCCCTTTAACGTTCTCATGGTGGTCTCAAACGTCCACAGTAACAACACACATAGGGCGCACCGCACTATAGGGCGCGCCGCACATTTTGAGGGGAAAAAAAGATGTTTATATGCGCCTTATAGTTGCGAAAATACGGTAAATGGTTTGGCTGTTATCTAAACCTCAATGCAGCAATTAATTTATAAATGAAAGCAAAGATTCTTGATCCTACCAATTCTAATAAAAAGGTTAGTGGCTGCAGAACCTTGTTGAGGCAGAGCTATTCTCTGCAAATTCATTGTTTCAATTACAGTAACTGTTCTGTGTATAATGTTACAGTTTTTGTTGTGTTCATACATTAAAATTATATTTTATATATATGTTTTTAAAAAATCTGTGTATGAAACTCCTCAAATCTCTTCTTCTACTTTTATGTCAAGCTTTTTTAGTTTTAAAAGGTTTTGATCACTTGCTGCTAAATCTCCCTCTGTGCTTCTGTATTTGTCTTTAAATGTTTTATGTTAAACGGTGCTGTGCAGGTATTCACACTCCTTGAACTTTTTCATTTTTTCAGGTGAACTTGTATTTATTAAGATATTATGCGATAGTCCAACACAAACTTCAGCATAATTGCGAAGTAGAAAGAAAATTATGTCTGTTTTGTACAGCAGGGAAATCAGTATTGCCTCAAGTTCTCAGTTCTATTCCTGCTTAAGAAAAACATCCCTACAACATGATGATTCCACCGCCATGTTTTACAATGGATACACATTTTATTGATCAAAAACTGAAATTATGGTCTCCTCTGACCAGAGCAGCTTTTTTCACATCTTGGCTTGAAGAAAACAAGGTTTCATTTTAAAGATTTTAATATGTTCTACTCTTCCAGGAAGGCTGGACGGCAGTTGAGAGTGGATTTTGTTGTAAAAAAATACATCTTCTTTTAAAATGATCACTTCTCCTTCTGACCTTTCTGCTGTGTTTCTTGGTCTTCATGATGCCCAATATTGTTCTCTACCAAACATTTGAGGTCTTTACTGATAAGCCATATTTTTACTTTGAATAAATCACAGACAGGAGGACTCTACTTAGATTAACCTTTGAAGGTATTTGGTTGCAGTGGATTGTATTAAGCGGTAACAGAATGAGAGGGTTGAACTTAAATACATCACACAGATATTCAGATTTTTCTTTGTGTCAAAGTTTGAAAATCATGTGAAACTTTCTTTGAAGATACAGTTATGTTGTACTTTGATCATTTACCTTAAATCACAACTGAACACATTGAAGTTTGTGGTTGTAACCTGACAAACTGTGGAAACGCTTTAGTATTTGACTGTATGTAAAACCACCACAATAATGGATTAAAGTCTCACCTGCCTTTCTTTTGAAAAAAAGATCCCTTAAATGTTCCTTTATCATTATTTCTTCTTTATTCAGCTTCATCTAACTTGAAAAGAAAAACTCAGTTTGTTATTTCCTTGTATCTTAGATTACATCCTGGCTGTGCTTTTGCTTTGACTTCAAAAGGAATGTCTTTCTCATCCTGTCTTGTGATCTTTAAGGTCTTTTCGTCTCCGCTTCAGGCATGAATTGGCAGAAAGATGGAAAAGCACGGAGTGATGTCTGGATGGTCAAGCAATGTGCAATGCAGCACATAATGGAGGGATTACTGACGTGACTATTGAATGTCTCCTACTGAAGCTGTGTGTTAAGATAAAAAAAAAGCCAAGATTGAGACAGGAAAAAAAGCTGCTGAAACATAACAGTGACGCTTCAGTTTTATTCCTGGACAAAATGTACATTTTAATATCTGTCCTTGTTCTGTGTCCACTCAGAGTGCAAAATAATCCAATGAAAGTCAATGGACGTTTTTTTTTTTTTTTTTTTGAGTGTAAAGTAAGGGTAAGCTATGGCATACTTAACATGAAGTACAACAGCCCTGACTGAATCCTTGTGCCAGCTTTTATCTCTGTGTGGGTCAGCTAGGTAGGCAGTGCTGTCAAGGGCCGATTTCGAATTGGACAATCTCTAGCTCCTGGTCATCATGGGAAATGCTGTCTTACTTCAGGCAAAACCATACAGCTTTGTCCACTAGGGGAGCCAAAATCGACCAGACCTAAAAGTTCTTCAGAACTGCTCAAGTTTTCTCACCAATTTCCAAATGTTACTAATTGTGGCAGTGAGCCCAGGTGTCCTTAATTCAATCTATGCAGTACCTGTAAAACTTTAAAGGTATAGTGGAAGATTTTTGCTTTTTTTTTTTTTATCCCACCCTTTCAACTTAAAAAAATAAATGCACATGCACAACCCTGTACCCGCCCCTGAGAGGGAATGCCTATTAAACCCGTGCACGAGCCCATTTCCAGCAGTGATGTGAAATGGATTTTTCCAAATAGCATGCCAAACTTTACTTGTCGAGTAGAAACTTCGCAACCGAGGCCTCAGTAAGAAGCCTGACCTGTGCTTTCAGCGTACGCCATTGTGTGAAAGAATTTCCCAAAAACACTCTGCTCTTGTTTCTCTCTTCTGAGGCCTTTCCCTTCTTCGTAGACACTTTTTCTCTTACGACCCTCGGCCATTTTTATAGAACCGGGGTTGTAAAAGTGAGCTTCAACGACTGTCTGAAACTATAGCTCACCACACATATACGCCCGAAAGAGCGCATGTGCAGAAAACTATAGCCAACTGGGGGCGAGCACGTAATTTCACCAGTAGAGGGAGGCAGCAGACCAGCAGCTGATGGAGGGGGGGATGTTTTGAGGGGCTGTTTTCCAGAAAATGGGCTTTGGCGCTTTGATCTTTTGACAGGAACTCCAAATGCCTCAACAAACCAAGAGAGTTTGTACAATCGCATGTTCTCAACTTTGTAGGAAAAGTCTGGAGCTGATCGCTTCCAGAATGAAAGTTCATTAGGGAACAAAGTAAGGCCCAAAAAGACTTGGATAAGAGAGGTTGATGTGGATGAATTTCACTGCCCTTCATAGACTGCTGACCTTAACCCAAAATGACACCTTCAGAATTAATTAGACTGAGAACCAGACCGTCTCATCCAGCATGAGTCTGTGACCTCACAAATGTACTTCTGGAAACATGATAAAAACATTTGCATAAACTCATTCCTAAACATCATCAATAGCATTCCAGGAAAAGCTGCTGTTTCAGCTGCAAAGGATGGGCTAACATTATATTGAACCCATATGGATTAAGAGCGGGATGTTATTTGTTAATATATGAGTCAAAGCAGGTTAGCAAATACTTTTGACAATATATATTTTTCCCGTCATTTAAGGAACTTTGAATAGTGCTTTATAAGAAATAATATTTTCATCATAATGTATTCAGTAGGAAACATGAAAACATACCAGATTGAGTTTTAATTATTGTTTTCTGTTTAGGCACTGATTTTCTATTAGTGATAGGGAATGTATTATGATTTTTTTATTTAAAAAATATCCTTTAAGTTAATTTTGTAAGTGTCACTGGTGCCAGAGTCAGATGCATGCGAACGGCGCCTTGTCAGGTAAATGCCTGGGCTAATGTGCATGTCAACACGCCCCCAACCCCCATTCACCACGATAAATAATATTACTCAAGATTAAAGAGATAACTAAAATAAAATATATAGCTTTGTTGCTGTATTTTCTAGACTGCACTTACTGGATAATTTGATTTATTAGATAGTTTATCTATTTACAGCAGCCATTTTCAGCAAGTATGAAATACTGGATCTGTGTGCAGACGTCTTTACATGTCAGTTTCTGTGTCACAAAATAGCCAAACTAGTCATTACCTCAGCCTCCGCTCTCACTTTCTCTGGGCTGATGAAGGGAATTGAACAAATACCAGGCATGAGGAGGAAGCTGCATCTACTCAAAAAAGAAGTTAGATAATCAGTAGCTGGAGACCCCCACCCAGGTTTCCCCGATATGGGAACATGATCTTCTCCACATGTTCTACTTGAGAGTTTAATGTAGTTATCACAAACAGCTCTGTCCACTTTTTTCTTTTACCATCAATCTAAAGGCAAAGCAGAGTCTGGAAGCAGGAAGATGATAAGAACATCCTGCTGGACTGAAGCTAAAGCCTTTCCCAGAAACCTCAAAGCTATCTCTAATTATTGCTTTTACCTACTTTGTTTAAAATTATTAAAGGCAACAGGCACAAGACAAGCATACAGCACACAGACCTTTGTTATTTAATTCAAATTACACAATAAATGCTCCCTCAGAGTATTTCTCAGTAAAAGACTGTGCATTGAGATATTGTGTCTTCATCATATGAGGTTCAAATAATTCAGATTATACATTAATGATAAAAAAAAAACCTCTCTCTATAACACGTTTGTTAGCTTATTCAATGCAATATTCTAATTAAGTATAAATATACAAAAAAAAATTGCCACAGATTGAGGCCATGGTAGGCTGAGCTAGTGCTGCCATCTGCTGGCAAAAACAAGTCAAGCAGAGCATCAAAGTATCTCCATTGGATGTTGTGTCTTTATTGGGTGTGCCTTGATGCTGTCTGCTTGTTGATCCAAACAAAGAGTGTCCTTTGATTTCTGCAGACATCTAGCGTGGACTAGTTCCTCTCCTGCCCTCATATATTCTGTAGGCGCATATGTAGAAAATACCTGCAACAGACAGTACTTATATTGGTTTGATAGTTTGCATTAATAGCCTGGCTAATACCTCATAGGATGAAGAGATTAAGTTTTAAGTAATAATACATTTTGTCAATTCACACCTGCAAAGAATGTCATGAGCATGGCCACCCAGCCCAAGATGTATGACCAGGAGAAACGCCAGTCACCAAAGCGCTTTCCTAGGAAGTTCACCGTCACACCAGTGTAGATGGCCATAGCCAGTAGTACAAAGAAAGCTGAGAATCAAAATGTACATATCAGTCTTTCTGTGGCCCATTTACATTTCAAGATATCGAGTTTGACTTTATAATATTGTGAAATAATAGAAAAACTCACTGGAGATAAAAAACATGATTCCTGCAGCAAAGGAGCGGTTGAATCTTTCAAAGGAGGAGAAATGTGAAAATGACATGATGCTGGCGATAATGCCTGCAAAGCAGGACATTCCTGACAGAATCATGAAGGCCCTGGTGGCATTCCAGTAGCCTGGGAAGAAGCACAAAGAAATGTTATTTGAAAGTATACCCTCATCATAATTAGTTCATCCTAAAAAGAAACACAAATAGAATATAAAATGAATAAAATAAGTGCTATACTGTAAGTGCCAGATCATGAAAGTCATGCAGATCAATATGTCAAAAAACTTTAAGGTGGTTCAACTTTTTGATTATGTGGTGCCTTACAATAATAATATGGATAATATTCAATGAATTAATAATTCAGAAAATGTATTTTTCAGCAAAAGCAAGCAGTTTAGATATCCAGTGAAAACATGCATGGTAAGTTAGGGAGTTTTAAACAAGAAAATTTAAATAATCCAATAATCCTTATTAGTCAGTAAGTCAGTAAGCTTTATGGTGTTAAAAAAATGTTTATTATGTATAATATTGTTTGTTTGAAATATTTGTTAAGAAAGAATCAATCAAAAATAATTGTCACATCAAAAATAATAAAAAACAACAGAGAAAAGTCTACAAACTATATATATATATATATATATATATATATATATATATATATATATATATATATATATATATATATATATATATATCTCCAAACAGAAAGAACCCTTACCTATGCTGTCAGTCTGCATGTAGCACTTGTTGGACATGCAGTACCTCCAGAGACCCTGGTGGGCATAGTTTCCAGACAGACGATACTGCATCCAGTAGTCGGTGGCCGTGGAGACCACCAGCAGGATGTTACCGACGATGGCACATAACAAACCCCCACCCATGAAGCTGTACATCTTGAGCTGAGATAACGGGGCAGCACCAGGGGAACTGTGCAAGAACAGAGGCAAACTGCAGACACTAAAGAACAACTTGTTTAACAAAACTAAGTATTAACCTTTACTGAGGTCTCACAAAATCAGTTTAAAATCAAAACGTCTCCTAAGAAATGACTGCCTTTTCCCTTGTAGCAGCTTCTATTAGACTTGTTGTATTGTAACCCTATTATCTACATAAGATGTACATTTTTCAATTAATGGTTAAAGACAAACTTTTTTAATGGGGGTTACCACTTTTAAGCCCTTTGAGGATTTTTGGTAACCTTCCCTTACATGTTATTTATCCATGATAATGTATATGTTTCTCCCATAAAAACTAAAATAAACTAAACTAAAATACAAGATTTGAAACATTTTCACATTTGTGATTTGAAAAGGTAAACATTTGTCTATAGAATACAAATTCTTAATATGAAAACATATACCAGCAGCAGATTATCAAGCAGTTTTCAGAAAGATCTGGCAAAAAGAAGAAATATTTATGCATAACTGAGAAATGTTTGGTACAAACTGATGATAAAATCAATCCAAGGCCAATCATAAAAATTGGAAAAAAATGTTTTCTGCCTATAGGTCTATTATAAAATAATCAAAACTTTCTCTCTATTTGCAAGACAACCGTTATCATTGCACACTAAATCATCAGAAACTATTTTTACCTCTGCTTAATCGAAGACATTGCTCCAAAAGATGAACACGACTAAACCAAGCTAAACCAAACTTGCTTAAAAGCCACTTTTATGGCACTGTATCCTAACCCTGTTTGTTGTCATATATCAGTACTGTCAGGTTAAATCTTATTCTGCCATCCTCTGTCCAATCCTGCTCAGATATGGTTGTTGGAATCACACTCAGAAACACTCCCTTACCTTGCTTCTGGAAACTTTTCTCTCTCTCGACGTCCCACCTTGCAGAGGTAAAGAATGAAAAACAGAGAGGGCTCTTGCTCTCGTTGGGAGGGAGGTACGAGAAGAGAGTTTAACAAGCAAAAGGGTTATTCTCTTTTATTCTTTTGTTGATGGAGGCAAAAGCTTTTAGCGCCAGCACTGGTGATGGCTGTACTTGAATGAGAACCCTACAGTGCATGTGACCTGTGCATGTTAGTGAATCCCTAACGGGGCCTTAGTGAAGGGGTAATTCAGCGGTTCTTGAACCTTTTTTTGGAGATGGGGACATTTGTTTGTTTTTAAATGGTATATTCCAGAACTGGGGATGTGCATAGATATGCAGGACTAACAGTGTCAATGCAATTTGCTGAAATAAACACTTTTCTTTCAGGTCTGCTCCAAAGGGGAGTCACATAAAAAGTGAATGCCCTGTGGAATGGGGGCAACACAGGAGGGTTCAAAGCTAAAAACATTAATTTTACTCTAATACATACTTTAAGCTACCAATTAATTATCTAAAAAGAAAAAAAAAAAGAATAGAAATATCATTTAGTTCACTTTATCGAATTCTAAACAAAGAACCACTGACACAAGGCTAATTTCTATGGGCTTAATACTGACGGGAATGAGAAACATTTTCAATTAAAGGGAAAACAGAAAGAAGAGGTTAAAAGCAGCAAAAAACAATGCATAAAAAGATTACATGTATGATAATTATGGAAAAACCTAATGAAAACATATGTTAAGCCTGAAAAAATGACTATAAAGGGAAAAAACTGTCTGAGTGCAAAAAATGCAAACAAACATATACTCTGAAAAGATGGACGCTTTGCAGTACAAAATAAAAAAGATTTAATACATACAGACAAAAAAATGAGTCAAATCAAAGATAAAATGAACAATAAATCTCCAATCCTCACTGATTTTGGGTAGGTTAGGTATTGATTTAAAAAATCTTGGCAACAATATGTCACAATTATTAGGAAAAAGGAGGCTTGGCAGTGTTATAACATTTTTATTTGTAATATTCCAAACAGAGAGAGATCAAAAAGTGATTTTTTTTATTTTTGTATTATTATTTTAATTTTTTGTAAGAAAATGTTTTCAGTCGGTTGATTTGAAAAATTATTGACCTTAACAATATCCCATAAATGTAGCCCTTTTAAAAACAGCGTATAGCTCATACAATGGCTTACACTGTGTCAACTTATATTTTTTGTTAGAACAATTTAATATATTTTAACAATTTATTTTGCAAGCGTTTCACAGACGACATCCTACAGGAACTACTTGGATCGACCGGGGGAGAAAAAAGAAAAAAAAAGAAAAAAAATCGGTTGAACCTGGTTGGACTTGGTTTGAACCGGAAGCAAACATTAGACCCGAGCTGATCCATCGGCGGAGTAAAGATGGCTGAGCAAGGCGCCGCAGATCCTGTTAACAACAACAATAATAATAAACCCGAAGCCTCAGAGGGGACGATTATTAAGGTCACAGTGAAAACACCTAAGGACAAGGAAGAGATCGCCATCGCAGAGGACGCCTCTGTCACTCAGGTTGGTCGGATGCTGTTCACCGCTTCGCTCTAACGTCATGCCCACAACTTCGGCTACAAAGCTAAACCGTTAGCATGTGTCACCAGTCTTACCGGCTAACTGGGACTGTCTAACATAAAAACGGCTAATTAAAATCAATATATTATTAATTAGACTGCCATTTGGTTGGTTGCGTTGTTTGTGTGATTATCTCTTTGAAATAACGGCGCCAAGATTCGGAAATTGCTAACCGGTTAGCCAGTTAACAGCTAGCTGGGGAGCTAAGTTAGCTTGTTATTCGGACCTACTATGTAGCTAAACAAGTGTCAGCTGACGGGTGCGCTTTACGGTGCTAACTGTGAGAAGCCGTAACACTCAGACAGAACCATGGAAGTGGTTACAGATAGCTGATCAATTGTGTATCGCTTTCATTTCCTACTTTAGCTTCATAACCTCATTATAAAGTCCAAACTGGCTTTGAGTCTAGAACATTCTCATTGCTGCTCCTGAGTCATTCAGGCTTCTTGGGGATTTCTAGTATTCTCAGTGCTGCTGTTGGCTTGGTGACGGCCCCAGCTGGAAACACAGGGAGCTTTAATGTTATCACATCCAAAGCAGGTTACTCAGCGCGGCTTATTAGTGCAGCTTCTTAGTTAATAATAGATAATACCATCTGCTACATTTCGGGTATTTCATATGCTTTTTATTATATATATATATTTTTTAAACTATTCTATATATTTACTATTAAATCAATATAATATCACAAACACTGTTTAAATTAAATGGCTTTTGACAATAGGGTGACTCAGAAAGGACTTCCTAAAGTATAGGCATGCCACTTTAATTTCCGTTTAGCTCTAATAACATACTTTACTGAAACAAACAAAAAAAAAAAATGCTGTCTTTAAGAAGGTCCTCTTACAAACATATCTAAATGAAACATATTTGACCAGTTTTAGAAACTTTTAGATTGACTTAAACCTCAGAGCATGGCTGTGAAGGTCTTTAAAAGCTTTGTTTTTACAACCAATACATTTTGCCATCATCCTGCTCCTAAAATTTGGTATCCAATAGAAAACAAATATCAGACTGTAGCTTTCTCAATCTGCAGAGCCAACCCTTCCCCACCTGTTGCTGAAGACTCCACATCAGCTGTCGTATTTTGCATCGTAAACATAGAGAAATGTAGTAAATTTTAGGGTATGAAGACCAAAGTGAGAGCAAGATTTAATACTTATTAGAGAAATTAGAGATTGGAGAATACCATTAAATAAAGTAGATTTTATTTAACAAATTACAAACAACAAATGCTTTCTATTCTCCAAAATCCCTGGAACAGCCATCAAATGGGTTGTTAGGAAAGAGATTGATCCAACTTTTCTATATTGAGTTCCAATTTGCCACAATTATTGTTTTTATTTTATATGGGTTTTTTTTTAAGACCCACATTGCTCTGTATTTACCTGGTAGCTTTTTTATGTACACAAACTTTGCAGATAGAAATAAAGAACTAAAATACATTGTGATTTTTTTAACCTAATTTTATCATAAATAATTATTTTAACTTATACAGTTTGACAGCTGGAATAATAATAAATAAATAAAAAACGTAATGTTATTGATTTCACATTGGAGAAATTTACCTTTGCATTTAACCCTTCCCCTTGGGGAGCAGTGGGCTGCCATCGTGGGGCACCCGGGGAGCAATCGGGGGTTAAGGGTCTTGCTCAGAGCCCCACAGTGGCAGTCTGTTGGAACTATTACACAATTTCACAGGTTTACATTGTCCTTCTGAATGTATGTACTGTATTATATTTTGTGTGAACACTGTATGTGAAAACAAAATGCTTTGAAAATTCAAACAGAGTGAAGCACAAACTGTCTTCAGAAAAGCTTGATTTAAAAAAAAAAAGCCATGTACTTGTAAATAGGCAACTTTAAACAATTTATTTTTTTGACAGTTACCAGACAACAAAGGTGTTGATCAGCTTTCAGTCATTGGATGAAGATCTAACTGCATAGAATAATTGGTTTGCAAGTTGCATCTGAAAAGTATTAAGAATAGTTGTTAAATGTTGTTTGGACAGACAGCACACCCAGCTCATTAAAAGAGTTTAACATGATCCAGGGGCTTGTTTCATTCCATTAAAGGATAAACTCCTTGCAGTCACTGCATTGGCCATTATCCACTACCTCTGTGGTCTAAATGCCCAGGGATGACAGGTGGAATTGGCCTGAGATCAAGTCATGGAAAAGGACAACGAACCCAAGCACACCAACAGCAAAACTGCAGCGTAATGGCTGAAAAAGAAAAGTATAAAGATGTTGCAATCCGTTAGTCAAAGTCCAGACCTGAGCCTCTTGCTCTAAATGCTGGGGTGCAACATTAGGACACCACTGTAAAAATTATAATAAATAAATGCCCTTAATATAAATCTAGATTAACTGGGGCTCTACTTTGAAAGAAACTATATCCTTATCTCTCTATAATAACATCAGTCTGATAAGGTCATACATTGGGTCTGTTTGTAGTACCTGTTGTTTTTAAGGGCCTATTATTATTCAACTGCGTTTTTAATATATTGTTTTTTAACCCCTATTACGCTTTTAATCTTTATTTTTTGCATTGTCTTTTATAACCATTAAAAAGGACCATTAAAAAACTTTTTTTAAACTAAAGACTTCCCTTTCTTATAGTTGTTAATCATATTTAACTTGCTATTGCTAAAGCCTGAGAACAGTCATATCCAAATACTCTTTGGATCAACTTTCTTGTTGCCAAATGGATCAAACTTTTAAGGTAATCATGCTGATGTTGTGGTTAGTCTCTATGGTCTGAATATTAAGACCTAATCACATGATGAATTTGTTCTAGTTACTTCCCGTGGTATGGTTTAGATGGGTCCACTTTAAAGGGTTTCAGTCAGATGGAAACAGAAACAGAAAATGTTTTTTTTTTTTAAGTTTAAATCAATTGTTTCCCTGCAATAAATACTTATAGCTTAGATATGTTTTACTTAATATCTGTGGGGAACATGTAATATATGCCTCAGCCTCCAGTGGTGCTCACTGGTAAATATAAAAATGTGATGGTGTGTTACTATTATCCCCCCACAAGATGTCACCAAAGCGTTCCACTGCTGATTTTCTTTGGTTTTAGTGTTTGCATTTTTTTTTTTGTTTTTAACATCCCAATTTCTGTTTCGTTTTGTGTTATAAAATTAATTCTTGATATTCAGAACTTTTTTCATTACTTAAATGGAAACAGAAGATTGGGCTTTGGATAAAATTTATCCAAAGCCCAATCTATTTGAACAGAAAAAAGTGATCAAAACTGGAAAATGAGACACAACTTAGTTTCTTTAATCGGACACTACATTGAGACGGTTTTACAAATGCATTATTTTTGATGTATATAATAAAATGAAATGTCTTAATTTTAAAGATAAAACCAGAAAAGCTTTATTACATTTCTTGTCATGTTGCTATAAAGTTCATGAATTGAACTCGTAATGATGGGCGTCTAGAAGACTGTGAGCCATCTGTTAGCCAGGTGACTCAATGAGCAACAAACAATTGTAGGAGACTTTAATCCATGTAAATACTGATCACTGTTGGAATTTGGAAATATCTTAAATCATAGCAACTGTCAAAAGGGATTTTTACGTGTCTCTTTTTTTAACAATTAGCCCTTTCTGTTCGTCATTAAAAACACTAAACAGCTTAACTGGAGAGCTATTTTAATGATCTTACTGTCACTTCATTCTAAAGCCTTAATGGTTTTTTTGTTTTGTTTTTGTATTTGCTGTCTTCCAGTTTAAAGAGGAGATCTCAAAGCGATTCAAAGCCAAACAGGACCAGCTGGTTTTGATTTTTGCAGGGAAGATCTTGAAGGACGGCGATAGTCTGAGCCAGCATGGCATCAAAGATGGCCTGACAGTACACCTCGTCATTAAAACGGCACACAAGTATGGACGCAGTTTTGTAGACATTTTTTTTAGGCTTGTATGTAATTTATTGCCGTTGCTTTAACCTTTTTTCATGTGACCCTAAAATTTTCTCTTTAGGACAGCAGATGGCGGTAGCACCTCAGCCTCTAGTTCAGCCTCCACTCAGGTAGGTAGCAGCTCCACCTCTAGTCCAACCGCCAACCCTGCCTCCACAGCAGGCCCCACCGGGTCAGGTCCTGCACCCACACAGACGCCTAATATAATGAGTGAGTCAGCCTGTTTATTACTTATAAAAACACTCTACTGGGCAATATTCAATACCTAACCAACGTTTACCCTCTCCAGGTGGCTTTGGTGACCTGGCCGGTCTATCTGGTCTGGGTATGGGCTCGGGTAATTTCATGGAGCTGCAGCAGCAGATGCAGAGGCAGCTCATGTCCAACCCAGAGATGCTCTCTCAGATCATGGAGAACCCGTTGGTACAGAACATGATGTCCAACCCCGACCTGATGAGGCAGATGATCATGGCCAACCCACAGATGCAGCAGCTGATGGAGCGCAACCCTGAGATATCCCATATGCTTAATAATCCTGAACTCATGCGACAGGTGAAGAAAAATGAAGCTTTAAGAGCTGGGGAAAATTCTGATGCTTCAATCTGATAACGATCATAATAAACATTTGGTCTAGTATTTCTCATAAAGCCTCTGTCTGCTATGCTTTCCTTCCCTTTTAATCCTGCCTCCCAGACCATGGAGCTTGCCAGAAACCCAGCCATGATGCAAGAAATGATGCGAAACCAGGACCGCGCATTGAGCAACCTGGAGAGCATTCCAGGAGGTTACAACGCATTGAGGAGGATGTACACAGACATCCAGGAGCCCATGTTCAGCGCAGCAAGAGAGCAGGTATCTGTGAGGAAATATTACAGATCACTGAGTCAGCCAGGACTTTGATCTGTTTTCAGAACCAGCTTTATTAGCCAAGTTTGTTGCACAATCAAGGAGGTTCACTGAAACAGTCTGTTATTAGTTGAAGTTTGTGAAAACCTGTGTAACAATGAAACCATTTTCCTGTAGTTTGGAAACAACCCGTTCTCAGCTCTCGGTGGATCCTCTGAGTCTGGCGCTCAACCGTCGCGGACAGAGAACCGAGAGCCCCTACCTAATCCATGGGGGCCCCCAAATTCTTCGAACCCATCTGAGAGCGGAGGGGGGACCACAGGTAGCACCAGTACTTCGGGGACCACCAACCCGAGTGTGTCCAACCCTCTCGGCATCAATCCTGGGAGCCTTGGAAATGGTGAGCTGGAGGAGTTTGCTAGTGTTTTATTTCAACATAACACACCTGACTTATTTAGATAATTAAACCCTCCCAATATTTCACCTCTAAAGAATTCTGTCTAAAAGTGCCAACTATAACTGTAAACTAATTTCATGATTCCCATACCTGGAAGTGCTTTCTTTAACCTCAAACGTTCATGTCAATGTTAGAGACTTTTCTTTTAAGGTAGGAGATGAAGTAGTTCTTGTTGTTACCGTGTTATAATAACTTAGTTGATTAATAAAGCAGTTAGGAGCTACTGCCACCCTAACATTTCCTTTTCAGCTTTCTATAGATGCAAAACTCAAAGGTGTCTTTAACAGCTATTTAAAGTGACTGGGATTTATTTACTACACTTTATTTAGAAACACACCAGAGCTAAACTGCTTACATTTTTAAGCACAGGCTGGGATCTTTGAAATTTTGATTTTATTTGTCAAAATTTATACAAAAAATGGGTACTACTATATTAGGCATTGGGACTTTATCAAAATAATACATGGTAACTCATAGACATAAAATTGAATCTGCTAAATTTGCCACAGGTTATTTGTTATAGTTTTTAGTTTTAAAGCTTTCAGTTGAAGGGTGATTAAAGCAGGATTGTGCAGTGATATCCTGTAATTCCTGTGAATCAGGTTTTGGATTTTTCCTGTTTTTCATCTGCTGAGCTTGGTGTGTCGTTACATCCTTGTTTGGATTTGTCCACTTGTGAAGCTGTTCCCATTTGTACTGCAGGCATGTTCAACAGTCCAGGAATGCAAAGTCTACTTCAACAGATCTCGGAAAACCCTCAGCTGATGCAGAATATGCTATCTGCCCCGTATATGCGCAGCATGATGCAGTCACTGGCTCAAAACCCAGAGTTAGCCTCACAGGTGAGAATCTAAAGGATGTATTTACACACATGCATGTGTGCACATTATTACCTTTTCATTCTTTGGGGTACAAATGTGTCTTTCTCCATTTTTTTTTTTTTTCCTGTACTTACACTGGTTTAAATTCTTTGCGATCCAACATAACCTGTAACATTTAACATTTCTGTTCAGGCAGTGTAGACTGCTAACTCAGCCACATGATTTATGCCTTATATTTTTTCTCTCATCCAGGTAATGATGAATAATCCATTGTTTGCTGGAAACCCACAGCTGCAGGAACAGTTTAGAGCTCAGCTGCCCGTTTTTCTGCAGCAGGTATAATTTTTTTTTCTTTTCCTTCTTTCATTCCCTCTTCAATCACAACCTTCCCAGCTTAGGAATTTGATTGCGCCGCTCCTTAAACTAACTTAATCCTGTTTGTTTAGGAAAATGAAATCATTTCTTTTTACCACCTTCTACCACTTTTATTTAAAGCCAATTTTAACACAGTGTTGCTATGAAGCTGAATTTCATCAATTAAGTTTTTCTTCTGTAACTAATTTAAAGTAAAAATAAGAATAAGACGAAATAGAAAAAAAATCTGTCACTGGGGATCCAGACATTTGAATTAAGAAAGCCTCCTGGAGAGGTGGCGAAACGTCTTCAAATCTTGAAAACCAAGTCCAGTGGATATTTTTTGAATTTTTACGGAAAATATCTTGAAAACCAAGTCCAGTGGATATTTTTTGAATTTTTACGGAATGACTATGACCTGGATGACTGAGAACCTTCATCAGCATACAAATATTTATCTTTTTTATTTGTTTTTTAATAGAAATATAAAGTCTTTTAGTTTCAGTTGTTGATCCAGCGTAATGTACGTTTGATAGGTTGTATCTAAGTGGGATAAGATATTACAATGTTTAACAAATCCTTCCCATATCTAGCTGTTTTTTTAGTCTTATAGGTCAAACTGCTAAAATGTGCCTGTTTTTCAGATGCAGAACCCTGAAGCCCTTTCAGTTATGACCAATCCCCGGGCCATGCAAGCTCTAATGCAGATCCAGCAGGGCCTTCAGACGCTGCAAACAGAAGCCCCCGGCCTTATGCCCAGGTATGCCTTCTCTTTTCCTGCACAAATACACATTTTAAATAAAGGCTTTTCATTTAATTATTTTTTTCTTTTGACCCAGTTTGATGACAGGTGGAATTCCAGGAGTGCCCACAGCAGGCGCTGTTCCCGCAGAGAACCCTGCCTCTCCCCCCAGCAGTGCTGCAACAAACCCTGCTCAGCAGCAGCTGATGCAACAGATGCTCCAGATGTTTGCTGGAGGAGGTGGAGGAGGAAGCGCAACGGTACACAACCACAGAAAAACAATTGTGTTGTGGTACAGGAAATGTTGTTGGTTATATTTAAATCTTTATGGACTGTTTTCCTTTAGACCCAAACCCCAGAGGTGCGGTTCCAGACCCAGCTCGACCAGCTGAACGCCATGGGCTTCATCAACCGTGAGGCCAACCTGCAGGCCCTCATTGCTACTGGAGGAGACATCAATGCCGCTATCGAGAGACTGCTGGGTTCACAGCCCTCGTAAACATACAGTACCATAATGACATGCAGACATCCTCACAAACACACGAATAACACGTAACACACCCAAAATCCAGAGAGAACCAACAGAAATGTATGTGTATTGTCCCAAATGTTGCAGGAGAAATTTGGGCAAGAACTGAAAGACCCTCATTCTTCATCTGTTCTAAGATCATTCCCTCCCCCCACCCCCCTTCGCTTTTCATGTTCAGCAACATTCAACCAGCTTCACCCGAAAAGTTCTGCTGTAGGGGTCGGACTGAACCACTCTGTCCTCAGAGGGTGTACTGATGTGAAGGTGAAAGGGACTCCCGACCATTTGTTTTTTCTTTTCTTTCATTTATTTTTTCTTTCACAACAATCTAAAGTAGCACTCTGTAGGCAAACATTTACATTAAACAGATGCAACACGTGCGACATGACAGGCGGTTGGCTTTGTGTCGTTCCTAAGAGGCAGGTTGGTATAGTCTTCTGGTCTATAGGCCGTAATCCTGAAAGTCATCAGGCTTTCAGACTTCCCGGCCTCCTTCCCTCCATCTTCTCAACCATCTCCACACACAGCTGGTTTTGCCCAACCGCTTTCACTATTTATTGCAAGCGCCTTCCACATTTTCATCCTCAAAAACTTTTAATTTGTCTCTCCGGATCAAAGTGCCCAGATGTAATCGCAGTGTCTTTTAAAAATTGCCCCCAGCTCCCTGAGTCCGCCATTGCTTGTCCCGTTGTCCCGCTCCAACCAGTGAGCTCATTCTTGGGAAATACCAGCTTCATTCAGTTGGGAAATGAGACTTCCTCCATCTCTGATTAAACTCTCATTCCAAACTGGAACCCTATTTGTTTTTCACATCCGCATCCCTGAAGCACAGGCTGCTGTCAAACCATCCTTTTTATTTGGATTAAAATTTGATTAATCCTTCTGTTATCTCATTCTGTTTGAGATACAGTTAGTACCTAGATATGATCTTGATTTATTTCACATAAATTACATGTGGAAATCACCCGAGTCAAAATATGACATAATGGAAAGGCTTTAAGATAACTGTTCATATGGTGGAACCGTTCTTTGCTCCAATCAAAAAAAAATCTAGGTTGTTATTATTATTTTTATTACTACATTTTTTTTTTTCCTTTTTGAAATTCTCAGCATTTGTAGTTGTGGTGAACTTGGCAACTGCTTCAATAGCTTTGCTTTGTCTGTTGACCTCAGCTGAATTAAAATAAAGAAATCCATCTCCCAGTTGATAATGTTGGAACTAACTTTTAACAGTACTGTACTAAAAAAAAGTAATAAATCATGGTCAAAAACCGTTAGCCCCTGTGTCATTTTGATTACAGAGTGGTGATGGCCTACAGGTTTAAAGGTTCTGCAATGTTGTTTGTGAAATAAAAGATTATATTTGCCTTGTACTTTGTTTTTGATATATAACGGTAAGTAATCTGGCTGTCTTCACTGCCTGCAGAAGTATGGACATTAATTAAAATTTTCTATCCACATCCGGATGCTGAGCCTTGAAAAACATATTCAGGCTCTTTTTACGTTTTGTAATATTAAAACCTCAAACTTCAATGTGTTTTATGTGAAAGACTAAAAACCTCATGTAATAGTTGGAAAGTAGAATGGAAAGAGCAAGTGTTTATAAATATCAAGGGTCAAAGAAATCTAGTTTAGGTCTTAAATTTTAAATTTTCATCAGATGTCGCCTAATGTATAAAGTTAATCTTTTCTTTTTAAACTTTTGTCCTTACACTGTCACAGTACAGAGTAATGAAATTCATTATGCACTATTAACTCATCCCCTTGGGGAGCAGTGAGCTGCCATTGTGCAACTCAGGGACCCAGACTTGAACTCAGAACCTCTGAGACCCAAGTGCAACGCTCTTACCGCTAGGCCACCACTTCCCTTAGAACTCAGCATCTAGCTGAGTTCCAAGACGAGGAACTCAGCTGGACGCAGTTCTGAAACAATATTTCAAGCTTTGAACAGAGATTTTAACAATCCTTTGACTGAAAATGGAAATCAGAAAAGCAGCTAATGAGTCCAACGTAACAATGGAAGAGATTTAGAGATCTGCTACTACGGCAGCCAGTATATTTCCAATATGAGAGTGTGGCAGGAGGATGGCTAATGTTGAAACAAAACTAAAAGAATCCTTGTTATGAAGTTTGCACACACACTCAAAAAAAATTCCATCACAACCCGTTAACAACGCTGTCCCACAGTGAAGCACGGTGGTGGCAGTACTGTGTTTAAGAGGTGCATTTTTTCCAGCCAGGTTGAGGTTGGAGGGACCTAAACACTGACCAATTCTGGAAGAAAAGCTGTTTGGAGCCCCAAGACATTTGACTGGTTTTGGAGGTTCATGCTGCTGCAGTACAACAGAACTAAAGATATAATCAAAGCATGTTTTTGTGTAAGAATTGCAGGTCAGTTTTGATTTTTTTATCAATGTAAAAACAAAAAATAAAGATTAGATTTTTGAAACACATTTTACTGTTTCAAAAGTAGAGCTGCTATGATTTTTTTTTAAGTTCTAGAAAGTCAGGGAAACATCCACTTCCAAGCATGATGGGAAACCCTTCACAGTTATGAATGTCCATAAATCTGACTTTAGACAAGTGTCAAACAATTAACCTTAAAACTGTTTAATAAAACTAATTTCATTAAATCATATGTCTTATCTTTAACACTGGTATGTATTATTTAAAACATGCTTCCCCCCAAAAAAATGGGATTGTTGATAATTCACAATTACTTCAAGAAAGTACAGAAACAAAAATTTAGTACTTGATATAAACTTGAATTTCTTTATAGTTATTTTTTTTACTATAAATAAAAACAAAAATTGGTTGCACACATTTAAATCTATTGTGCATTTTCTCCGGTCCATATGGATGCAGATTTGCATACATGCCAAAAAAACAAAAACAAACCTGGATACATCCCCTCTGATATTTGAATAAATGTCCCCTAGCAGTTTGCAGATTGGGATCATAGCATAACACTGGCAGGAAGTTTGGTCACTCTTCTAACCAGATATGGAAGCATTCCTTTGGTTTTATTTTCAGTATATGGAACTAACTTTTAAGCATGAATTTGTTAGATTCATAACTAGAATGAAGTAGTAATACCTCTTTAAAACTTTTCAATAACAAATGTTAAACACAATTGATTGCCAGTAGTAAGTTGCATATTTGTGTTAGAACAGGTTTTAAGAATACCCTTTAACATAAAGATTTGTTTCCAGATTACATGTTATGCATTCAGGTGAGACAAAGATGATCTTTGGCCACAGTGCTGGGTCGATGCCTAGCTTTTGAACCCATAAACTCACTATTTTCTAGCGTTGTGATGGCACCATTATGCTTTGGAAGTTTTTGTTAGCATCACTAAAGGCCAGAACACACTGGTTGCGTACGACTTTAATCTCCGATACGATTTTTTTCCATGTCGCACTGACTGCGTAGGAAGAGGCTCTAATTAGATAGATATTACTTTCACTTCTGTCACTGTTCCACTCAAAACAATTTCCCACATTTGACTTGGACAAATTGTGAAAAGTTATTATAAAAAATTTAAAACCCGGCTTATCTATAAAGTAAACCCCCACTTAACCAGTCTGTGCAGCATATCTCAAACCAGAACAGATGTTTATAGGCAATGCCTATAATAAAAACTTAATGAGATCTACGTCTAATAAACGGCATGGGACTGCCTCACACAAGGTGGATAGAATTATAGAGAACTACCTTTAGATTTATCAAATCCCTACCCAAATATGCAACTAGATGGAAAGAATGCTGATCCTGGAAAAAAAAAAACATCAGATCTGGATTGGACTGGAAAAGGCAGGCTTCTGGGATAGCCCTGATTTTGATCCTGTGGAAAGTTAGATGGAGCTAGACTTAAAGAAAGAGTTCTTGCATGTTGTACATCAAAGCCAGAGTTATTCTAGAAAATGTACCGTAATAATCGCTACAGATAACTGTGGTTTTACTTCAACTTTTGAAAGAAAATGTTAACAAAATGAGGATGCATAAAGTACGTTTGTAAGTATTTTAAGCTGAATCCATTATGTTGATACTGTGGGTGGACAACAGAAAATCTCCCATTAACCTGATTCTTAATTAAAAAATTTATCAAAGTTTTGGTTTTGTTATTCCTTAAACTATTGTGTAAATAAGTGATTAAAAGCCAAACATTAATGACCTTCAAGCATATGATGACCATATATTTGCTAAAAAGAACTTACCTCTTTACATATAAGCCTGACACATCATTATAAGCATTTTACCATTTACAATTAATTTATTAACCATAAAAATAGCTTGCGTTATAATAAGAACATGGAAATGGGAGCATCAGGTCAAACCGAGCTGTTCTTCCGGCCTAGTAAACATGAGACCGGTGGTCAAAGGGTGACGTGTCCCAACTCACACACATCCACCTGCAGGGTGAGGTTTATTGTCATACAAATGAGTCTGGGAGTGCAGCAGAGGGTGGAGTCTGTTTCTGCGAGCGGTTCTACCTGTTCCACCTGCTCTCCTTCCTCCCGGCCCTCCTTTGGGTGTCAGCTGATGAGCAATCAGGAGTCCTGCTTTTTCAGTCTTCAAATGGGAGCTGCTTGAATAAAGAACAGAGATTGCTTTTATTTCTTAGATTTTTTTCCCTGCTTTTATATTAAATCCGAGAGAATACTTTCGCTTTCTGTTTTCTTTTTTAATATATCCTATATATTCCCAAAGTGGCTTCTGGATATTTATCAGGAGGAAGAGTGACCCATCGCCACTGAATGCAGCATGGGCTCTGATGATTCTTACAACTTTGTCTTTAAAGGTAAGCCATTTTTACTTCAGTTATAATAATAAAATAAGAGAATTACAGATAACCGCTAAAGGTAGAGCAGAGTTTAGCTGAATGCTGCTGCTGCTTTTTCTAAGAAAGAAAATGGAGCAGAGAAATAAGGAAGTGAATACTGGATGTGTATTTACATAATCTATATGACCTTTGACCTTCTGGATAATGTGTTCTTATACTCCCCATGTAACCAAGATGATTATATGCAGTGTATCCTAGTATTTCTTCTGAGAGCAGCAGTGATTTTCTACTTCCCTTATTCCAGACTGAAGTCACACTCAGTGTAGATGTGCCACGTTGGTGTGATGTCACACTGTCAGGCATCCAGTGAGTGTGACAGAAAGTCTGCAAATGTAAGATTAGATAAAGGCTATCTGATCCATTTTGGTTTCAGGAAACATACGGTTATATAAATGTCTTCAATTAATCCTAAAATAAACTAATAGGAACTTCATTGCATGTCTGTGTAGTGGTTCTGATAGGGGAGTCCGGTGTGGGAAAAAGCAACCTTCTGTCCCGCTTCACCAAGAATGAGTTCCTTCACGACAGCCGCACCACCATCGGTGTGGAGTTCAGCACACGGACTGTTCAGCTGGAAAACTTCACCATCAAAGCCCAAATCTGGGACACAGCTGGGCTGGAGCGCTACAGGGCCATCACCTCAGCGTGGGTACACACACACACACACACACAAACAAACTTGTTCTGCTATATGTAGTGAGGACCATGTGTTGACTCTCAATGACTGCCATTGATGTTCAGTCATTTTCAACTCTTTCTATGCTCTAAAATTAATCCTAAACCTTACCTTTACCAATGCATCTACCTATATCAATCTAACCCTAACCCAATTCCCACCTTAGCCCTAAATATCTAACACTAGCCATTACAAAACTCTACCTAACCCTAACCTAAACTGAATTCACACCTTAGTCCTGAACCTAACCCAAATTCAAAGAACACACACCCATCTTTGTATTTCTATCCATATTAAGACTTTAAATTGACTTAAACCTATTTTATTTTTCAAATTTTTATATAAACCTGACATATACCCTAACTTGAACCTAAATTGAATTCACACATTACCTCTAAACTGAGGTTAAAAATGGTCCTCCACATTAGGACGAGACTTTGGTCCCCATAAGGCCTGTTGGTCCTCAGAGGGTTAATAGATAACATAAACAATTATACACACTCACACACACAGACAAGATTAGTAAATCTGTACAGTCAAATGGACAGAATAATAAAGTGAGCGGCTAATTTCCAGCTCACGTGTGCCACTTTCAGTAACACTGTGCTTTTATTACCAGCTGCACCTCCTCTGTACTTATCACACCTTTTTTTAAATGCAGCTCCTTGCTAAAGGATCCCCACCCCTTCAAGATTTCCACATCTTATCAAATTACAACCACAAGCTTCTAAGCATTTTATGTAATAGGCAATGGTAATTAAATGTGTGGAATTATTTAGACCTCTTTGTTATGATACCCTTAATCTCCAGTTTAACCTGCTGCCTTCAGTTTTCAACTACACTTGGAATGTCTCCTTTTTGACATTCACCACCTATTCAACACACTTGAAACAAATGGCTGAATTCCCTTTAAAGGATTATGTTCAGCTCTGAAAAATAGTGGTAGCAATCCATGCATTTGAATCAGCATTTTTTTTTTTAAGTTGCATCCCTGATCTGAACAATTTATGTGTACACCTGTGCATTTTGAAAGACCTCAGTGGTTTAAGGCATTTGTTAGGAAAAAGCATCAGGAAGATCAAGGAATGCTGAGGGTAGGTCATGGTAAAAGTTATGGAGAAATTTAAAGCAGAGTTTGATAATAAAATATCGCTCAAAGGTGGTTTGCTTAAACTTGACATTGAATTTCAGTTATCATGCTAGTCACTGTTTAAAGTCAGTTACAGGAAGTTTTAGCCTCCATGCTAAATCCTTTGGTAGGTGGAAAACAAACACTACAAATGGGACAACGTTATAATGCACCTTTCTTCTTGACATGGCAGTGTTCACCCTCACTACTGGAAACATGACACACTTTTTGGATTTTTATTTAGGAATAATAATACATAGTTTATCCTTGTGGAGAAAATAAACCAGAGTTGATTTTAATTAGACATAATTTCAGAAAATGAAGAGAGGAAAACATTTTTTAACCTGCAGTTACTAATCCAAGCAGTAAATTTAAACTCTGCTGCTCTTTGGTTGGTCCAGATATTACAGAGGAGCGGTTGGAGCGTTGTTGGTGTATGACATCAGCAAACACCTGACCTATGAGAGTGCAGAACGATGGCTGAAGGAGCTGTATGATCACGCAGACCCTCACATTGTGGTCATGCTAGTGGGAAACAAGAAAGACCTGGAGAACCTCAGGACCGTCCCCACAGAGGAGGCCAAAGACTTTGCAGGTAAATTTAGACATGTTATTATGTGCTGCATGGATTTTAGTTCAATAGTAAACAATTTTTGCCATTCCAGACAAGAAAGGCCTCATGTTCATGGAGACATCAGCGTTGGACTCTACAAATGTAGAAGCTGCTTTCAACGAAGTCCTCACAGGTAAAAAGAGATAACTCTACCGCATCTGTAATTTAATGTACTGACAGCTTAAGATGCTACCTTAAAATGTTTGGTTTCTGCAGCGATTCACAAGAAGGTGGCGAGCAGAGAGGTGACCCGTGGCTCCATCAGTGCCGTGACCCTGTCCAGTCAACTGGGTGCTGCAAGAGATGCTCAGGAGGAGCGGAAAGGCTGCTGCAAGAGCTCCTAAAGGACTGACTCCCACTCTTAGACAGATTTGTGTTGAGCCAACACCATGCTTGACTGAAGTTAAAGCTCAGCCTCTCTGTCAGTCTGATAGTGAGGCACTGCAGCCTGTCATAGACCTTTTTTTCAATACGGAAACTGTACAGTTTTTAGGTCATTGATTTAATGCTCAGATATTAAGTGAATCCATATTTTATAGTCATATTTCATATGTAGTATTTCCTCTGCGGGTTATTGGGAAATTTTACTTTATTTGGTTCTATTTTTCTCTCTCTGTGTGTTTTCAAATCTGCTTTGCAAAGTTGTGTTGTTTTTTCTAAAAGGGAGAATTTTGACTTGGAATAAATTATTTAAATGTTTCTCTTTATGTTGGACTTATTTAAACAAAGATGGTGTTAAAATGGATGTGGCCTATTTTTGGAAATGGTGTTCAGCAGCAGGGACCCCACCTTGAGCACAACTCCGATCGCCTGGCAGGCCTATATATAGCAGCTCAGCCATCCGCACTTCCATGTATCACTGCTCATCAGACACTGAGGACTGTCCATACATTTTCTGCTTCTTCCATCATTTGGAAGAATAGTGGAGAGACGTGAAATCCCTATTGCTTAAAGTCCAAAGTGGAATTTCTACAATCATTTATGATTTCTAAACCATTGTGATTAATCACAGAGTCACAGCAGTCATCTTGCAGGACATTTTACAGCACATAATGCTTTTTTCTGCTGACAAGCTTTTTGGAGAGGCTAATTTCATTCTCCAACAGGACTTGATTCCTGCCCACTTTTAAAAATGTGCCAAAAGCTGGTTCAATGACTGTTGTGTTCCTGTGTTTGATTAGCAAACAAACTCACCTGACCAATAAGCCGCGCAATTATACAGAGTATTGCTAAGCGGAAAATAAGATATACCAGACCCAGTGATGAAAATCATCTGAAGTCATTATTAAATCGATTTGAAATTTCCAAATTAAAGAAATACATTTTTGACATTTATACATTTAATAAATATCTTAATTTCACTTTTCTACATCAATTAGTGACTAAATGATTTAAATGATCATTTTCAGTTCATATAAAAGTTTATTTAGTTCCTTCCTCATGTAAAGTAAACTACAGTTTTACTTTTAAGGCCTCACAGCTAAAAACATGATAGAAACTGCCGTCATGACTCGAGTAGTTAAAGGTGTTGTGTCACCACTCAGCCTGCAGATGGTAGTACTGATGTTGTAACTTTTGCTCCCCCTCAATAATATAAAATCCATTCTTAGACTGGGTGCTTTGATGTGAAATGTGTGTATGTGATGTTTAATAGATCTGCCCACTTTGGATGTGACCATGCACTCTCATATGGCACAACTGAGAGAATATAAATCTGCATCAGCACTGTTTAATGACATGCTGGACACTTAGAGCCTCTATCTCTGGCTTGCAGATGTGCACATGCTGCTGTACTGTGGTGTGAGTGTGTCTGCTTGTGTTTGAGGCACAGCTCCCTCCAACCAAGGTTCCTCTGATGATTTTGTCACAGTAGAATTACCACAAATGCACAGTTTTATTAACCCTCTCTTGTGAAATTATGATAGGAAGTCTCTGGTGCAGGCAGTAAATGTTTAATTATATTCTCTAAAGGAAGATAAGTTTATGGGCTTGGAAGGGAAAGACATCTGGATTAATAATCTATGCAGGTTGAGAGTATGGTCATGAAATCTGGGAGTAGTCGGGGAGATGAGTTCGACCAAAAAAAGGTAAATTTCTCCGGTTCTAACAAACAAATCCTGACTTGTGGAAGTATTGTTCCTTGCTTCAAAGCAACCAGTTCACTGAAGTTGGAAATAATTGAAATCAGAGCATACGTGAGACAGCTGTTAACTCCATGGTACTAGACATGTTTAACTTGTAAAAGTGAGTATTAGAACGAGACTTGGATGTCAGAGACCCATCACCCCTGACCCCAGCACAGATCTGTTTATCTGCCATTTAAAATTCTTTTGCCTCCAAGCGCTTCCCGTCTCTGAAGGGATTAGAGTCTTATCTTCCAGGAATTTACAGCTGCAGCGCCACATCTGCAGGGATTCAATTTTGATATTTTTATTTTTGGTAGACATTTGACACTATAGCGAAAGGATCCTGCTTTTGAAATGTCTCATGTTGCCCTTTGGTTTTATTAAGGTTTGTATTGTTTTTCTTGTGTTTGTGTTCAATTGTCATTACTAGTACTAGTTATCACAGTATCACCCACAAACTTAGTGTACATTGTTTCATGGCTTACAGTTTCGAATAGGTTTTATGAAAAACTCAGACTTTGAATTGAATGGAGTTTCATGTACCGTAATGGTTTCAGTCCATAATTGTGACACCGAAGGAACTATATAGGCAAGTTATTCAAACATTTTACATAAATAAATCTATAAAGTGTAGCACCCATTTCTATTTAAATCTTTTTCTCTAACACCCATAAATACAATTAATTGCATACAGTTCCCCATAGTGTTGCATGGTTGCTCTCCACTGGTCTTAAACTTCTACAGATACATAGTTTTGAAACTCTTCTTTGTCAAATAGCATAAGCTCCTACATACTTAGCATAGAATAGAATAGAAAAGCCCACAATGGGGAAATTCTGGTGTTTACAGCAGCAAAAAGATTATAGAAAGATGGTCACACAAATGTGGACCTTAGATTGAATTGAACATCTTAATAGAACATCTGATAGGAAAAATTCTGTCATCTCGATTTAGGTCTAAATTTTGACTGACATGGACATGGACAGCTCTTCCTTTAAATTCAATGTTTACTCTCTTTCCTCTGTAGGAGCCTCTCAGAGGTTTGCTCTATTGATTTGACCATTAATTCCCATAGAGATATGCTGCCACCACCGTGTATAAAAGTGGAAAAGGTGAATTCGGGGTCATTTGTAATGTTTACTTTCTATGTCTCAAAGCATTTTGCTTAAAAAAAATCAGAACACTTTTTTAACCATGTTTTCTGTTAACAGCACATGGCTTTTGGCAAACTGTAAATGTGACTAATATGGCTTTCTTTCAACAGCTGCTTTTTTTTCTTACATCTTGCCAACAAAGGGCAAGTTGCCCAGCAGGTTGGTTTAGGAACACATGTCCTATGAGGCTTGCTGGTGTATGAATCTCTTCATGTTTTGTTTAAATAGACTTAACATTTCCCTGTGAAAGTCCAGAGGGTTTTCTTATTTATACCTTATACTTTAGAAATATCTAAAACTTTACTCTTGACTCGTTTTGGTTGTTTTTATTTACACCGTGTTTTTTTTTTTTTTTTTAAAAAATGTTCTCTTACAGACATCTGAGAAGTCACAGAACAGCTTGATTTGACTGCTGCAATTACATACATGTGAACCCTATTTACTAACAATGTGAATAGAAAAAATTGTTTTTGCTGGATTTTATCTAGTGGGAAACAGATGAAAACGACACCCTAAAAATACACATTACACTTTTTAGCTTTGAACTTAAAAAAAAGGGAAAACAACAAATAAAGAGTTCTTATATTTAGCTATTACAATACTAGTCTTTTTACATGTGGCAGCCATATTTAATTTTCATATTAAAGCCATATTGAAACCAGCTGTGTTTTTCTTATGATTGTTGCTGTTTCCAACGGGTCAAATAGTGTTTAAAAACATACTACTAGTTGCAATCCCATGAACAGATGTTAAGGAAGATATTTGTTTGCAGTATTTCTTTTATCTGTTCAAGAGCTGATAGTTATCTGCAGTCATGTTCACTGAACCGTTTTCGTATCATTCTATTAGCCGTGTGCTCATTTTTATTTTGTTAATATTTTGCTTGTTAATATCTGAACAGTATTCTTTTTTTATCCTGCCTGAGGGGCTTCTCTTTTTGTCTTCTACAATAGAACTTTTTTTCCCAGTTTGATTTCATTTTATATGATTTTGTGTTCTGTGCAACTTTTTTTTTCTTCTTTTAAACCTGATGTTGCCACTGTCACAATTTAATTTCCTCACTGTGGGGCAATAATGGTATTTCTTAGCTCTCAGCATGTACTTCTAAGGTGTACTTCAGTGGGTATTTCAGATGAATTTTCTAATTCAGAACATTATTTTTTTTCCATGTCAATTATAAACAAAGATCATATATATTATTTCCATAAATTGTTTCTCAGGCAAAGATTAGTACCTAAGGCTTTGAAAAATAGATATTTCTTCCCAGAATGATTTTTTCCCATTTTATTTTTTTGCTTTGCCCTCAAGATTTTTAACTCTTTGACTGCTATAAGATTTTCAAAGTGTGACAACTAATGCTTTAAAACAAAAATTTTAATTGTAAGATACTTTTATAAAGACAGAAAATTGACTTTGATTTTTACAACTTCTGAACTTAAATATTTACAGTTCTAAGAATGATATCTATGGTGTCAGTCATTATTATATGGAAAAAAGATAAAGAAAAATAAAAAAGAACAGAATATTTAATCCAATAATTGAATATCGTATTTTGTCCAGCAAAAACATAACCAAATGGCTGTCTGTTTGGAGAGAGGATAAAAAAAGCGATTGAGCTCAATCATTGTTGATCAATAAAATGCACAAATATAGAATACATTCACAACTTTCATTGGAATTATAAGAATTGTTGAACAAAAGTAATTCAATTCCAGTTTAAACATTTCTCAGTTAAAAATTGTTAACCAAGCATGTGAAATCAAACCAAAGTAAATAGTTCCTATTGTTGACAGAGAAGGAAAAAGACAAAAGTTTTTAAAAACCATTACCAGAAAAAGAATATGTCACAGTTTGGAATGAATTTTAATCTTAAGATCTAAAGTTAATCTTAAAACATCTGGAATAAGTTTTAATTAGGTCTAAAGATCATTTGGAACAATTGGAATGTGTTTAAACCAATTCAAAATTCAAATCAAAGAGAGAGGGTTAACCCTGTAGCGGTCTCTATGTTGATCCTTAGCTCTGTGACTCTAGTGGAAGGAGAAAGCTGCATCCTGCAAACCTCAGAGAGAGAAAGATGCAGACAGCTTGTTCTGTGTTGTCTGTTGTGGTCATTTTAACTTCTTAGGAAGCAGCTCTTACTTACATTGAATCAAACATTGAAGAAGCGAAGCCTCTCTTTCTGTAACCCAATTCAGGACCATGAAATAAAGAAGGCTTTGCTTTTTTGGAGGAAGGTTTTATATGGACGACCACCTGGGGATCCCAGGATGTACAGCTTGTCACACAGTTTTACCGGTCCAACATTCTTATACAGTCCATGCTCATATTCCGTTTCTTATTTATATTTAACACATGATTGTAAATTATTTTTGATCTAGACAAAAAAATATAAACAAATATGTATA